TATAGTACTAAGCAATGTACATAATAGTTTTTTGCCTTTTTGTTTCATAATAAATTTTATTTCTATAACCCTTTTGCTGATTTTTAAAGTGTTACATAAACAGGACAGGTGAAATATTATCATGTAAAGCAACCATAATCACAAGAAAAGACCTATGTTTACAATTTATGATTCAAACTCTACTATCTACACAATACATAAAATGTAAAAACTTAAATATCTTAGAAACAGTAGCCAATCAGTTGTTTTAATTGTCAAATTTGAATTCAGCACATCAAAATACATAATAAATAGCACATTTTATCTCTGAAGCAGACGGCTTCTCAAAAATTGTAGACCAGTGTAATTGTAGAGAAAGCCAATCTTCTTTGTGTGAATCTGTACCTTCATGCACTAATATGTAAAAGATGCTTAGGCAAGTAGTTATGGTAAAGTTTAGAACCTTCTTGCAAAGAATGTCTTTGTAGCTGCTTCTAGGTGGTTCCTTTCAGCCACAATGAATCTGTGTCTAAGGTGTTGCAAAAGACATGTAAAACTCCTCTCCTGGAGAGCTGGGTAGTTAAACATGGGTCAACAGAAGATGCTACTTTCGGAGCACTCCAGAGACAAGTACATTTAAATCTCCTCAAAACTCACAGAGACATGTTCTCTTTAAATCCCTTCCCCAGATAATGTGTCTAATGCACCTGGAATGTCCTCCCCCATCCTGTGTATCATGCACCCTCCCTCAAAACTCACTTTTCTACAGGTTCTCCAACAATGAGCTCCATTCCCAGGCCACACTAATGAAATCTACATTCATTTTAAAGAGGAACTAACCTGATACATGCTACCTGAAATCAGACAACCTCTTAGCCTTAGTGAGGTCTGTTTGCATGCCAGATTTGAACTTTCTGCCATATTTTAGTTATCTATGAAAAAATGAATGTGATCAGACTGGGAAATAGTTGGTACGTTTCTGGTCTCATTTGCACTAATGCATCTCTGGAATAACTCTCATCCCTTCCCTTTTTGAAGTATATTTTATCCTCACTCGGCTGCCAAGATCCCCAGGTAGTCCCTAATCCTGCAAACATTTAAATAAATTGGACTTGCATAAAGTTAAGCATGTACATAAATGTTTGCAGATTTGAGACCTGAGTTGGTAAATTTCTCAGGACTGTCTTCTGTGTTTTCCCTGTGATGCATTTATCATACTTATAGCGTCTATAAAATAATAAATAACACTATAATACATGTATTATTTTTACGATATTATACCTCAAGATGGCTGAATGAAAGTTGCTCAGATTTTAAAAAAAAATTACCTTGGACTGAGATGAATGGAATTGGAATGTTGCAATTTTTTTGGAATGTTGTGGGAATGTTTAAACAGTGAATTATTACACAGAGTGTTTTGCTATTTGAACTCCAGAGGTCACTCCCAGGGACTGCTGTAATAATGGCTCATACATCTTTCTTATTGCATTTTATCTTAAATAATTTCAGCTCTTATCTTTCATCTATTCAAATAGATTCCTTTCTTCCACCTCTCTCCCCTTTCTCCCATGTACAAGATGCAGTCTTCTGAGAGCAATTTAATATAGTTTTCTAACACATACGACACTTGATCTGGCAAATCGAGGGTGTGAATTCCCAGAGAAGCCAGGTTTACAATGTGACACTGGCACACCAGGTGCCAGCTCATTCTAAGGTCCCTAGGCCTCATTGAACTCTTACAAATGCATAGCTGGAAACCAATCTGTCTTACCTGTGGGTTAGCAGTATCAAAATAGATATTAGAGTTATAACTACGCGTT